GCCCCCGTTTTTGATCCCATTCCTCACTCCACCCCCTCAAAATGTCTCTGGTATATGGTTGCTCATTATTTTTGTTATTTTCTCGCCTGGTCCATTATACTCCTGCGATGAGTGAAATCATCCGGTATTTTTCTTTCTCTTTCTGGCTTATCTCACTAATTACTTGATTTTTTTAATGTGTGTGAAATGATATGAGTTACATGAAATTTATTCTTGAAGCATGTAGCACCAGTCATGTCTAAAGTTGATTCAGTGACATCAGAGATTACTTTAGGATATTAGAGCAGATTTCCTCAAGTTGGGCTATTCTCCAGCTTTCCATCATTATTGTGGGAAATTATTATGGACCAAGGGTCTGGGTTCTAGGTAATAGGTAGGATAAAGATTTAAATTCTATTGAAGAACTGAAGGTATGATTCTCAGAGTGAGAATAAGAGATAAATACCTGGATTTGTAACCAGCCAACAACATCAGTTCCACATAGACATTTCATAAATAAAAGGAGAGAGACAGTGAAATCCTATCCTATTTTATTTTAGCCTATTTGATCAAATCCTATTTTATTTGATGTAAAATTAACTTAGCTGAAAGTCTACTCACACCCACCCATTTGCACTGACAGACACAATTGATGAAAGTGTTTTTACACAGAGTGACAGCTTTGACAACATTTTGGAAGCAATATATAATAGTGATGACAATTTCTCAGTAATCACACTTGGAAAGGTAATATTTAAAATGCACAAAACTGATGTCATATACTGTGCCTTGAAGGCTGGTTTTTCATCTTGTCATCATTAACCAAAATTTATTGTGTCCTTATTGAGTGCTTGACACTAAAATAAAAATTGCACAGAGCAGGTTTGAGGCCAGAGAAGCTGTCTTGCGTTTTTGTCAAATTCTGCTTGTGGCCCAGTCACTTGTTAATTTTGATGGCTTTACTTTCTCATCATCCTCTCTACTTTAGTAAAAGTTCTTATTGGCTACTTGAGAAAAGAAATGTTTTATTGGTGGGTTTGGTGTGGTAATATAGACTTGAACTGATGTGATCCCATACCTCTGAATCATACAGTATATATATATACAGTATTATAAAACAATAAAAAAAAACAAATTTTTAAATAAAAAATCAATAAAATTTATAAATAAATTTAAAAAAAAAAGAGTACTGTCTCTGAAGGAAATTCCTATTTAAGAAGCTTCTGTTGCCATTGGGGGTGCTCTGAATAATATTTTGAATTTTGCCACCCATGATAGAGACCACCAGCAAACAGAATTGTTGTTTTGCAGCTAAATGAAAAATTGGAATATTTATATTTTAAAGAGGAGAAACTTAAATTACAGAACTGTAGAAAGAGTTTTGATTACACAAATTTCTCATCACAAACTACAAAAACAACAAAATGAAAACATAGCAGGGGAATATAAAAAGTACCAAATGATTCATGGAGAAGCAATTGACTCATTTTAAATCTCATTTTATTTACTTTGTGATTCATGAAAAGAAAGTAACCACTACTAGCCCAGAGAACAATTCAGACATTCTTACAGGATAATTTTGGAAACCTAATTATATGTTTTTATTAGGGAGCGTATGATAAATTACCAACATTATTGAATTCTCTCATAATATCTATATTTCCATACTGATATTAGAGCTATTAATACTTTGAAACCAAATGTATTACATATTGAAAATATATTATACGTAATAAGACAGATTAAGCATAATTTGTGAAGGAATCTATGTATATTGAGGGAGATTGCAAAGATGAAATAGTTTTACATAGTCAGATTATCTTGAATGCATCAAAATGAGGACATAAACAGAAACCTAAGAGGTGTAGAGACAAGGTGTGAAAAACAATCTTCTAGTGCATGAGCATAATATTAAAATTTTACATGCATTAGTTAACAAACCTTTTAGAAAGAATCTAACATGTCAGGTACTATTCTAGTGAGGCATAAATGTTAAATTCCATAGCCATTAATCCACACTGCAATAACATCAATATTTAAGTAAAAAGTTTAAATCAAAATTCAGAGATATAAAATATGGAGTGTATGACTTTAAGAAAATAAAGTTTTTATGTTAAATCTTACCCTTCTTCAGTCCCAGAGTCAGAAGGCAGGTTGACAGGAGTGAGTGACACAGATTGACTATTTCCTCTGCTCTCTCACTCCCTCATTCACTAGCTCTTGCTGGCTATAAACTCCTCTTTGCTTCCCAACAGCCAATCACTGTAACAGCCAACGTGATGTCAGAATGTGGATTTTCTCCAGAAAACCCCCAAATTTCAACACTTTTTCAAGAGACAGGCTTGGTTGAAAAAACATGAAATGTGGTTCTAGTGCCAAGAGGTTTGCATTGTGGAATTTAATTGAAGGTTTAGATGAGGATGAATAGTTTTGAGTTTTGAATATATGTAATAATATACTGAATCTGAGTTAAAACAAATAGCAAAAGATTTAACTATTTAAAATTTCATAATTTCATAACTTTCATTATGATGAAGGGAAGAAAAATGTACTGTTATTAGACAGGAAGCTTTTTTAGCTTAAGAAATAGTAAAGTTAAACTAAATAATAAGGGAAGCTGATGAATAGTTAAGATTTGTCCTATATTTGTCCTAAGTTAATTGTCCTATATTTTTTCTGAAACATACATTTATATATTTTTCAGTGATTCATATTAAAATTGATAGAATAAAATCAGTCAGAATATACTAGATATATTTGGTAAAATATTTGCTGAATATAAAAGCTAGAATTTCCAAGGGTTATGCTACCAAGAGGCAGCTTTCATTTTTGTTTTTATAAAATAAATGTCTTTAGGTTGTCTGTTTATGTGGTCTCTTCTTATACAAGTGAAATCACAGCATTTTATCTTCCTGTGTTTCACTTTACCTCTTCTCTGTTCATTTCCATATTCATCTTTGTTTTTGTATGGGGTTAGAAAAGCTTTCTTAAAGCTGGCAAAGATAAACTGTTGTTGCTGAAATGATTGATGAAAACCAAACCCACAAAAAGTGATTGATAAACTAAAAGATTCACTTTCTCATTTGCAAAGGGAAACTTAGGTTAATTAGCCTGCATTTTCTGTCCTTTTTTTCTCCCTCCAGTTGTGAAATCTACTTGGAAAAACAATGAATAAAAATAAGACTTTTCAAAGTGTGTGCCCTGTCAACCTGTTAGGTGCTTTAGATGATACACCTTTTCCAAAATGCTGCTTAGAAAATATAGACTCACATAAAGAGAGGTTGATGGATCTCTAAACCCCTCAATTTTGTTCCATTTATCAAATCTTGAATGACTGAACTTTTCACTGAGCCAGTACTTTGGCAAGATTGCCTCAGAGCATAGAGAAAATATTTTCCCGGACTTTAAAAATTCATAATTGTGCAGAAACATCCCAAATATCGGCAGGATTTAGAAATGTTGAAGGAGATTTATTTTAAATGATAGAGAGCAGTGGAACTAGGACCCTCAAATTGGACTAGGAAGAAGTAATCAAAAAGGAAAAGGAAAGGGCTTCAAGACTATGGACATGTACAAATAACATGAAAACCCTGTTTAGTATTTGCCGAGTGCTCTTCTACCAATTCTTTACTGGTGTTGTTTTACTCACCCCTCTCACACAATGAAAACAATCTTAGGAGTGTAATGCCCATTGCAAGGTAAGTGACACATTGTGATGCCCTGGCTAGAACAACTGGTAAAGAAAGGAATCAGAGGACCAAAGTGAAGTCTGTCTATGATCCTTGTTGGCACATTTTAGAAGCTTCAATGAGTCAGAAGATTAGAATAGAGTGGGTGAAGTAGTGACAGATGAGAGTACTTGGATAGTAAGAATTAGTTCTAAAGGGGGTAGTGAGTTGTACTGAGGCATATGCATTCCATCAAGATGAGATCTACCAAGGGGTTAAAGAAGAAGTGTAATATATTTAGCCCTGCAGGGACCTCCCTGGTGGCGCAGGGGGTTAAAGCAAAGCACTGTGCTTAAAACCACTTCAGCATGAGTTCGATCCCCAGATCCGGAGCTGACCCACATGGCATGGCAGAACTCTCCTGACCCGCCTGCTACTCAGCAGTGTACTTCGTCAGTCAGGCTCTTCTGCTCTCCACTCTGTCCCTGGTGAATCCTCTCACCATCCTGCTCCTCTGGCCTGTACCCATTCTGTATGCACAAATAAATAAATCTTTAAAAATATATATTCATTTTGAAATGTTTTGGGGTGAAGGGGGATAAAGGTGAAACAAGGTTGACTATAAATTGATAATTGTTGAATTAGTGTTTGGTAAATAGTGATTTATGATACTAGTCTCTTTCTCACTTTTGTATATGTCTGAAGTGGCCTACAAACAGTTTTTTTTTTTAAAGCAGGAGTTATTCTACTAAATGATTTATTATAAGATCGTCAATTTCTAATATTCTATAATCAGTAAATTATTTAAACCTGGTATGTCCTTTCCAATAGCTTTCTATCTAACCCAGTCAAGCTCTACCTTTAAAGTGACATCTTTATTTATGCATGAGCTTTGGAACATTCTTTTTTAAGGAAAAATGCTAGAGAAAACAATTCACAGATCCATACTAATTCTGATTTTTCTATAATGTGGGCTATCCCAATAATAATTTTTGTTGCAATCTCATTAATGCTGCAATATCTTCTGATAAATTCTTCATTTAAACAGGTTGTTATGAATTTATTTTTGTAGGTGGCACATGAGCTTCTCATTGACATGCCACAACCAACTTATGTCGTGTGATAGGTCCTTTCTGGGAAAAATTCACTCATTGTAATGTATCTCTCTTTCCTACCTATCACCTCTACTCAGCTGTCAAATCCTATTAATACTGCAACATTCTCTCCAGAATCTAACTTTCTTCCTCCTTTTAGTTACTTCTGTATTGCTCAAGTTTTCATTACTTCTTTTCAGGCTAGACTAACAACATTCTAATCAGGAACTTGTTGCCTACTTTCCCTGCTAAACAATTCTGTGACTACAAGATTTGGAATCCAAGATTATGGTAAAATCCTGCTGTTGCCCCTTACTAACTTTTGACCTTCAGAAAACTCTCTCAACCTAAAAAATCTGACCCCAATGTTCCAATATCATTTTTTTTTGCCTCCTAAAATACATTCAAGATGCTTTATATAAGACTATAGATGGCCAAATCTCAAAAGTAGATAAATACATTAAAACATATTTTAATGTTTAATGTCTTTGCAACTCTTTTTTTTTTTTTTTTAAAGATTTTATTTATATATGCATACAGAACTGGGGCACAGACCAGAGGTGGAGGAGCAGTGAGAGGATTCACCAGAGACAGAGTGGGGAGCAGAACAGGCATATCAACGAAGTACACTGCTGAGGGGAGCAGAAGGTGAGACAGGAGAGGTCTGTAGTGCCATGTGGGTCACCTCTGAGCCTGAGATGGAACTCACACTGAAGCGGCTGTAGCCAGCTTGCAGTTTTGCATCCTAACCTGTTGTGCCACCAGGGAGAGCCTGTCTTTGCAACTCTTAATTAAAAATTAATAGCCTATAATTTTCTGGAATGGATGAATAAACTTCTTCCCTTCCATAAGAAAAAAATTTAAATAAGATCTTAACTATGCCAACATTCATTGTATGACCAAGTGCTTATACTACTTCCATCTGTTCTATTCCACTCTTTGTCTCTGAAACGCAAAGGTTTTATCAACGCTTATATTGATAGTGATCCCCAGGCTTTTCCCTCCTGCGCCCCCCACCAACTTCCCACCCCCAGCAGTGTTCTCATCAGCCCTGGTACTCTTTGATACTCTATCACTTTTCTATCAAGTCTGAGGTTTTTTTTTATTTTTTATTTTACAACAGTTTATTTTTACATCATTTTGTACATTTTTTTTCCATCTCAATTGTAATCCCCGCGGGTTTCCCATCACCAAGTCACCCGTGTGCCATCACCAAAATCCTGTGCACTTCCCTCCCCACTCCCCTCCCCATCCCATTCCCCACTTCACCCCCTCAAAATGTCTCTGGTATATGGTTGTTCATTATTTTTGTTATTTTCTCGCCTGGTCCATTATACTCCTGCTATGAGTGAAACCATCTGGTATTTTTCTTTCTCTTTCTGGCTTATCTCACTAAGCATGATCTTTTCCAGCTCCATCCAAGTTGCTGCAAAAGACATGTGTTTCTCTTTTTTGGTTGCTGAGTAATATTCCATTGTACATATGTACCACATCTTTTTTATCCAGTCATCTGCAAGTCTGAGGTTTTTAACTCTTTCACACCCTGAATTTCAGCATGCCTTCCTTCTGGGCTTACTGTTTAATTTTTGTCTAGTTGTTTGGTCTTTCAAGAAGTGTCTAGATCTAGAATTTTACATAAGCAATTGTTATTGCTTATTTTGTTCTTGTAAGTCTGGGAAGTATAGGTTACAAAAGACAGGTTTTTTTCCTTTGGAGCTAATAATCCAATCAAGTTCTCCTTCCCCTCCACCCCTCCCTCTCAAGTCCTCCCCTGTTTATGTGAAAGTCACGTAATACTTTTCCAAACTCCACCCAATTTCCCAGCAAAACTTTCATGTATTCCATAGCCAGAAATAACAAATACCAAACTTGTACCTAATATAAATTCTTATTTAGGGACCATCGTGTTCTCTGACTACAATATTGTGTCCTTGTGCGGTAGCGGTGGTGGTGGTGGTGGTGGTGATGGTGGTGGATGTGTGTTTAAGAATCATCTGTTTCTGATTGTGAGTTTCTGGAGGGTGAGGACTGTAGCTATTTAAATTGCTGTATATGGAGTCAGGACAACCACATCTATGGCTATTTACAAGAGGCTGAAAATTCTCATTGAATTTGACATCAACTGAACATTAGGAAATGTTTCGATTGATGCCTGGCCCTTTCTAAAAGAGAAGGCAAAGGTCAACACATTGGTGTTAGCAGATGTGGATGTAAGGACTGAGGCTTAATGAATTATTCTTGAGGTGGTTCCCATCTCCAAGGGAAAGGTCATGAATTTGTCTCTACCCTTTAGAATCTTATTGTAATTTTGGAAGGAGTTAATGTGGTTCACTTGTATCTTGTTGACTCTTGGGTCTCTGTGTAGCTTTTCTAGGAAACTTTCTCTTTATTGTATTTCCCACCATGGGCATTGAATTTTC